CACAGAGCTCCTCATTACCCAGAAAAAGTCCAGAAAGCAGAGTCTCCCCAGTGAGCAGACTCTTCCTCTTGTCTGAGAATAATTTCTCCACACTTGCTCAGAAGGTGAAAACCAGGTGAGGGCAACGTCACAGCAGCCTCATCAGAGCAAACAGGTTGTGTCTTCTTGGAATACAGAAAGCATTTGCAATGACTCCATTCTTAAACGCCCCTCCCCAGGGAAGACCATCACAAGCCAATAAAGCCTCCCCATTCCTTAAGCAAACCCTCCCTGGGAGCCAGCGAACCAAGGAGGTAAGTGGTTAGTCCTCAGCATGAATACTGGTCTATGCTGGAGAGCAAGGGGACATGAGATGGAGGAGAGGTGAGTCAATGAATAGTGGCCATAATTAAGCAGCATTTGTAATTTGTGTACGTCAAGCTAGAAAAAGCAGCTGGGAGCAGAACAGGCTGCCCCTGCTTGTAGGGAGACCAACTGTCCAATATTCATCAGAAGAGAGGAGGTTGCTTACAGTGTATGAGGACCCTGAGCTTCACTTCTACCTCTGTTCAGTATTTTTTTTAAGATTTATGTATTTATTTAAGAGAGTGCATGAGTGGGGGAAGAGGAGGGAGGAAAGGGAAAGAGAATCTTCAAGCAGAGTCCATGCTGAGCACAGAGCCTGATGCCGGGCTCAGATGTCACAGTCCGGAAATCATGACCAAGCTGAAATCCAGAGTCAGTCACTTAACCAACTGAGCCACATAGGCACCCCACTACTCTTCAATATTTTTGACAAACTTGTATCGTAGTCACAAAAACAATAGTAATCCCAGTATGGCCCTATAAAGAGAGCAATGGAGTGAGGAAAGCCAAATATTACCAGCCCCCAGAGAAAGTTTGAGGCAAAATTTAGCAGGAAATTGAAATATTTAAAGAACAAAGGTAGGCAGTGGCATGGGGGGGAGCAGGTGTCTGCAAGAGGGGTGTTGAATAAAAAGTCATGCTGTAAAACAGTGTGGTTGATACTTCGAAGGTGGGGGTCTCCTTGGTCGGGGGTTAAGACATCTATGGGGAGGTAACTTCCTTCTGGATAAACCAGCAACAGGAGACTTAAATAGCTGTCCCCATAGAGTCATAGTGGGGTGCTGACCTGCGTGAAATGCATGTTCCTAATCTTCATGGACTTCTTGGTTTTCCAAGAGTTACTGAAGGAGGACATGAAATGGCACATGCGTGGTTCCTGGTATACAAATGGAGAGGTGATGGGTGCTCCCTCAGTGCTGGTTTACTTCCCTTCCTCTCATGCTGCTTGTTACAAAATACTTGCATAATCTCTATGATTAAGGCATTTTGAGGAAGTACACCTCAGCCCCCTTGTGGGGATATGGGTATCAATGCTCCTCCAAGCCCTTTGTACATGGGAGCTTGCAGGGAACGATCCAGTGAGCCATCAGTGAGGATGGTTTGAAAGAAGCAGAAGCTGAGCTGTCCTGTGTGACATAAAACAGCATTCCTGGCAGGAGAACTCGGGGTAGGCAAAGGACTAGAGCAGGAAGAGCAAGGCCTGCGGATAGGTGGGCCAGTGACTGCACACACGGACCTGGTAGAGGACAGTTAGCAGAGCACACAGAGGTTGTGCCTTCAGACTCCCCCTTGCTGTGGCAGCTCACTTCCTGAGTGTCGTCTTACGGGAAATGCCACCCAAGAGTGCGCATGTCATGGGGACAGGACTGGAAACGCAAGCAAACCCTGAGAGAAGTGCTTTTGCTGTGTGTGATGAAGGGAAATGTCCCCAAGACTCAATACCCTTGTTCTGACCTTGACAGCTAAATGGGGTCTTCACCAGCTTATCTGAGTGGTGGAAATTTTAGATTGAAGAAAGAGATCCTGGACTAATAGGGCAATAAAACCCCGTATACAAATGGTACACATTCCCGCAGCTCATAAGTTTATTCCTAGATGTCCTTTCCTGTTTGTTGGAGTAGGGAACATGTTCTGCTGATTTCCAAAAGGAACTGTTGGTAATAAAAATAGATGACAGTAGGAGATATATCTACACACGTGCATTTATCTATGGGTTATATGTCATGCATGGAATGATACAGATCACAGGGTTTTGTCAATGTGTTCAAAATCTTCCTGGTCTACCAGTAGGTGTGGCGTGATCCTGTCATTGACATATCTCATGGCGGCTGCTAAGACAGAGAGATGGGACAGTGGTCAGAAGAAATGGCAGGGCATTCAGTGTTAGAAGAATACAACCCTACTCTTGCCACACAACTGTTTAAGGAGATGGCTGTTTCGTTTTTAGGTGATTGGAACACTTAAAGGTATTTCTGCTCTTAAGACCTGAGTCTTAGAAAGATGACTCCATTGTGAATGTGAGTGAGGGGTTGGATAAGAGGGGTCCAGATGGTGGTTCTGGCCGAGGACAACAGATGCAGGGAGACAGATAGCGTGTGCTCTGACATTAGGCTAGTGAAGCCAATAGGATATCACTGATGAACTATGACCAATGAGGACTGTTATCAGAAATAACACTCTGAGTCAGGGTAACTGATGCAGAGGCAGCCAGGAATAGGAAGGAAGGTGCTGGACTGAATTTGGAGAAACAGCCAACAGAGTAAATTTGGGATGCTCCAGTGAACAGTGTCAAAAAGGGGATTTGACGTCAGGGAAGAAGTGACAGCTAGAGACCCAGATCTGGAAGGACTCTGCTTGAGTGTGACTGTGGCAGATGTGGAAATCGCTATGTTTATCCCGGAAAGCAAGGCAGTGCCCCAGGGAACACCTCTATCTGGGTGATAGGAAGGGGTAAGGAGGTCAAGGGAGTTCAGAGGCTGGATCCGAAGCAGTTCCAAAGTGGACAGAGTGCAACCACAAGGCATCCAATGCAGAGTGAGAAAGGTCATGTTGAGCTGGTGTCCAGCTCTGCAGTCCACCAGTGTGTGTGTGTGTGTGTGTGTGCACGCGCGCGTGCCCATGTATGCCACGTACACTGAACTGGAAATCTCAGTGTCTCCTCTTCAATCCCCTCCCCCTTTTCTCCTGGGTGACATTACTCTCCTGTTTCTGTCATTCTCTTCTGTCTCAGTGATGTGCGTGCATGCTGTTTCTGCTTTATTAAAAGCAAAGTACTAAAGTGAATAATGGTTAAGAGCAAGAGCTTAGCTTTTGGTCTTGGCTTTACCATGCGCTGCTATGTAAGTAGTAGTCTACAGTAGACCAGTCATCTTCCCCAAGCCACTCTCCCCAACAGCAAAATGGGGGTAGAAACATCCCCTTACTGAGTCCTGAAAGCACTAAGTATTCCCAGCGTCCGGCTCATAGGGAGTGTTTCATAATTTGCATTCCTAATTGTGACCCATACCTACCCTCTATCTTTCTTAGTTCTTCCATCCTTTTATATCTTTCTCCTCACTATCCCTGCAACATTTCTGTTTCTTGTCCAGTGTAGACTCTGAGAAGAAACTTTGGAATCAGAAACCTAAGAAAGGGAAATGGTGTGATTACTTTTCACCTTGAAAGTTGGACAAGCCCGATTTTGGCCCTCCCAGCTCACTGAATTGAAAATGTGTCCTGAGCTCACATTAGAGATAAAATAACTGCATTCTCTAAGAGTCACCCAAGTAGTTTCCATAGAACAGTGGGAAGAAGTGTAACAACTGGGCGTTCCACAAGAATATTGGAAAAAGTATGTAGTTTTGAAACAACAGAGGGAGAAAATAGTTTGCACTTAGGTATCCATTGAACCCCCAGAGTTGGAGCTGCTTTCAAGTAATACCAGGGTTCTTAAGAATGCAGGACTTGGAGGGGAGGACAACACTTGTTTATTGCCACAGCACTGAGTAGATCTCCATGACTTTATAGTTGATGCATAAAGCACCAAATGAGGAACTAAGAATGAATCCTCCATAAATTACCTGCACACGGGATTTAATTTCTTCTCAGTCCTCTCATGCATTCTAGCATCGCTGTCATGAACTTGAGGGTTTGCAGTCCTGGGAAGAGTAGGAGGTGGGGGCTGATGGACCTCAGTGGAAGACACCCATGAATCAGCAGGTGGCAACCCAGTTGCTTTCTAGAAGCTGCAGAATCCAAAAATCAAATCAGCTGTGTTTTCTGACTGCAAGAGGAAACAGCTGCTTGGCAACAAAATTGTGCAGGAAACCTAGATGTCACTCAAACTGCCTGATAAATGTTAGCTCTAGAGGCAATCTGATCCTTCAGAGACAACTCCAGGGGCTGTGGTTCTTACACATTCTGGATCTTTCTCCTGATGCTCAAAACCTTATGTTCTTGGATCTTCTTAGGTGCCATGACCAAATCAACAGCCAGAGTGACTTAGCTCCTTCACTCCAGGGTCTCAGGATCTTGGATTGTACTTTTTTTTTACTGCAAAGTGCGTGATAGTGCTGCCTGTATGTGAACGGCCTTAGGAGAGAGACCAGCATGTGCAGAAAGCCAGAGAGCACCTCTTCATGGTGACAGAGCCAGATGTAAGCCTTAGCAGGTGAGTCGAGTGTGCTTCTATCTTGCTTGATGCCATTTCTCACCTCCCTCCTACCACCACTTCCAAAAGGCAAAGCCAGAAAGCCAAAGAAAGTGGTCAATTCCCTGCCAATGAGTGTGTAGAGAGAAATCAAATGTTGTAACAGTGATGGGGCATATAGCAGACTTTGACCAAACCGGAAGAAAATTCTTACTTATTTTTGATATGCTTTCACAAACATCATGCTGCTCTATCATCCCCAGGACTTTGCAAGTATTTTCTCCCCACATGGCAGATGCAGAAATCAAAGTTCAGAAAGATTAAATGGCATAGTCAAGGTCACAGAGCAGGAGGCAGAGCAAAACACATGGGCAGCTGCTCTGCCTCCTGGTTCTGATTCCCCCACATCTCGGGGTCTCCACGGAGGTAAGACAGGATGCAACTCTTTAGGAAAGCTCAGGCACAGCCATGAGGAAGCCAACTAATTCCTGCTCTCAGGTTTCATTCACTTTGACTCATCACAGGCTCCAGAGAATGCCTCAGCATGAGAGGTGACAACCAGAGCTTCTTGGGGGATCCCCCTAAGGAATTCATCCTTCTAGGTGTTTCTGACAGGCCATGGCTGGAACTTCCCCTCTTTGTGGTCCTCCTGGTGTCCTACATTCTGGCCATGTTGGGGAACATCGCCATCATCCTGGTGTCCTGGCTGGATCCCCGGCTCCACAACCCCATGTACATCTTTCTCAGCCACCTCTCCTTCCTGGACCTCTGCTACACCACCACCACAGTCCCACAGATGCTGGTCAACATGGGCAGCTCCAGGAAGACCATCAGCTACAGTGGCTGCATGGTGCAGTGCGCCATTTTCCACTGGCTGGGGTGCACTGAGTGCATCGTCTTGGCTGCCATGGCCCTGGACCGCTACGTGGCCATCTGTGAGCCCCTCCGGTATGCCGTTATCATGCCCCGCCCTCTCAGCCAGCAGCTCGTGGCTGTGGCCTGGCTCAGTGGCTTCGGCAACTCCCTAGTTCAGGTGGCGCTGACAGTGCAGTTGCGTTTCTGTGGGCGGCAGGTGCTGAACAACTTCTTCTGTGAGGTGCCAGCCATGATCAAGCTGTCGTGTGCAGACACCACCGTGAATGATGCCACGCTGGCTGCGCTGGTGGCCTTCTTTGTGCTGGTGCCCCTAGCTCTCATCCTTCTCTCCTATGGCTTCATTGCCCGCACGGTGCTCAGGATCCAGTCCTCCAGGGGAAGGCACAAAGCCTTTGGGACCTGTTCCTCCCACCTTGGGGTGGTCTCCCTCTTCTACCTGCCTGCCATCTATATGTACCTGCAGCCCCCTTCCAGCTACTCCCAAGAGCAGGGCAAATTTATCTCCCTCTTCTATTCCATAATCACCCCCACCCTCAACCCCTTCATCTACACCCTGAGGAATAAGGATGTGAAGGGAGCTCTGAGGAGACTCCTGTCAAGGACCTGGAGGTTCTGCAGGAGATGAGGCTCTGAGACGTGTTAGTCTCCATGGGTGACAGAAGCCTGGGCGAGCGTGTTGTGTGCCGAAGTAGTCGACACCCAAACAGCACAGGTGTTTTGAGAGATTTGAGAGCCCCCTGAGTCCCCATCCTAACATTTCACCTTCTGTATGGTCATGGTACCTAAAACCCCACCTCTCCCAATAGCCTTTGTTCTCAGGGGCCATATGTTTTTAGGAGTCGTTTAAACAGAATTGGTGTTCAATAAGTATTTGTCAAATTATGTCATTTCTACTTTCCTAATTCTTGCCCTGTTTCGTCTTCCTATTTTTTCTTATTTTTCTCCCGTTTGTCTCTTTCCAATCTTCCCTCTTCCATTTTCATTAGTCCTAAGGATACATAATGTGAAACTGAATCATAATCTGATATTACTTGTAATAAATTTATGTTTGTCTCCATATATTTATTTTTTTATTTTTTGTTTATATTTTTAAATTTAAATTCAATTATTAACATACAATGTATTATTGGTTTCAGAGGTACTGGCCTGTGATCCATCAGCCTTATATAATATCCAATGCTCATTACATCACATGCTGTCCTCAATACCCATCACCCAGTTACCCCCTCCCCTCAGGCAGCCCTCAGTTTGTTTCCTATGATTAAGAGTCTCTTATGGTTTGTCTCCCTCTCTGATTTCGTCTTGTTTTATTTTTTCCTCTTTTCCCCTATGATCCTCTGTTTTGATTCTTAAATTCCACATATGAGTGAGATCATATGATAATTGTCTTTCTCTGATTGACTTATTTCACTTAGCATAATACCTTTTAGCTCCATCCATGTCATTGCAATGGCAAGATTTCATTTTTTTTTTGATGGTTGCATAATATTCCATCGTATATATGAACCACATCTTTATCTATTCATCTGTTGAAGGGCATCTTGGCTCTTTCCACAGTTTGGCTATTGTGGACATTGCTGCTATAAACATTGGGGTGCATGTGCCCTTCTTTTCACTACATCTGTATCTTTGGGGTAAATACCCAGCAGTGCAATTGCTGAGTCATAGGGTAGCTCTATTTTTAACATCTTGAGGAACCTCCACACTGTTTTCCAGAGTGTCTGTACCAGCTTGCATTCCCACCAACAGTGTAGGAAGGTTCCCCTTTCTCCACAACCTCTCCTACATCTGTTATTACCTGAGTGGTTAATTTTAGCCATTCTGACTGGTGTGAGGTTGTCTCCATATATTTAAATTCCATAAATTTTATGTAACTTTTTAAAAAAATTCCAAAAATGAATGGAATTACTTTCTTTTTCCTGTGACTTTAGGTGATGCTTTTTTTTCCTAAAGTTTGAGTTTTCTTCTATAAGAAATTTCCCCTCCATTGGCTAGAAATAAGCATATTTATTATGGATGCATAAGACTCTATATTAGATTTATGGGTACAAACCAAAATAGCATAATATCTTAAAAAAAATTCTCTAGTTGAGAATACAAGATATAATGATATATATGTATATATATATAATATATACAATTGATATAATATACAATCAAAGTTAAGGACACTAAAAGTTTAAATAACAAGTTCAAGGTCATCATAACAGCTAACATTTGTAGAAGGCTTCCAAGATGCAGGTACCAGATTAAGTGTATTTATGTATGCTATCTTGTTTAAAATAACCCCACGATGTAAACACATTTATATTTTTCCATTGTCATAGAAGAATTTGATTATTGGAGAAGTAACTTGGCTATGGTTGCTCTAGTAACTGATGGAACTGAGACCACCGCTAATGTCCATACTGACTGTCTCTTTAGTAGAGTAGAGTCATGATACCAGCACTCTGTTTTTTTCATGTTTGTCATGTTTTTATTTATTTCTATTTAATTTATTCATTTTTATCCTGCTGCCATACATATCCCAGATACTAACATGACCTAGCAGAGAAAAATCAATATAATAATAATAATAACAATAACAACAACAAATGTATGACAATTAGGACAAAAGGAAAATTGAAGAAGTCTTCCTGACAGTAAAGGCAAAAAGAAAATATAAATCACAAAGCTATAGCATTTGATTTAAGAAATGTGGAAGAACCATGACTATTCCCGTTTCCACGACCACAAAGAAATTTTCCCCTGGGCTGCCGTCCCCAGGTAATGGCTAAAAGCCCTTTAGAACTACCTTAATGACATGCATAATAATGCATAAGAGCTTTCTCTTCTGACTTTTCCTAATGGCACAGGTCCAGGATATAATTCAATGAGAGCAATACGGAATGGACGCAAAGAAGTCAGTCCGTACATACAGCTATGCACTGATCCGACCTAATTTTAGAACGCATTTGAGAGGACGGAGGACTGTATTTCTCGAAACAGATGTGCTAGATTAAAGATGACCTTAAAGTATGCTATTAGAATGAGGTAAAAGTGATATTTTAGACCTTCCAAGGCATGATCATAGGAAATCTGTCAGCATGCAGCTAATACAGTCTGTCTGGGTCTGTAAGTCACCAGGTGAAAAGGCTAACTGCCCTATGGTAGCCGTGCTGGGGAGACTGTGGGCGGATTCTATCACCTGCTGTCTTACCAACTTCCAGCCACTCTGCCACACCTGAGTGGAGCTCTCCGAACCAATCCTGCCTACCAGTTCAATCACCCAGTGACCTCAGTAGACACAGCATAGGGCTGAAGAACCTCCCAGGGGAGCCCTGGTCAAATTCCCAACCCACAAAATGGTGAGGTATAATAAAATGGTTACTATCCCAAGACACTGAGTTTTGGGGATGGTTTCGCAGGGAGCTGGAACACTGGGGACCCCTAGAGTATTGTACATCAGAGTTACATAAAATCACAAGGTAAACACAATGAATTTTCCAGAAGCATCAATATTATTTGACACTTGAGAAGATATTTAAATAATTGAACTGATAATTAAATGAAAGCATGCTTCCATTACAATAAACTGACAGAATAGATAGGAAAATGTAGATAAATTTTTATCATAAAACCCAAGACTTCAAATATTTTGAGTGCTTTAGTGCACGGTTCTATATTATGGTAAGGTTCCTGAAATTCACTTTTCTCTGTTTTTCTGAGTATTTTGTGGAAAAGTGTGAGAAACACTCATGAAGAAAACAGGATAGGGTGTGTGCTTCTCAGGTACTTTTCCAAAATTATCACTTTGTCAGGAAAGCTTTGGAAATCTATGGGTCTGTACTGTGAATATAGTGAGACTCTTTTTGGGGGGGGGTCAAATTAATTTTATTATGCTCCAAGATGAATTGCCACCAGTGCAACATCTTATTGCTATACATTCAAAAAAGATTCACACACTAAACAAAATCTCAGTTGATGAATGGAAATGAATGATTGAAAAATCTTTAGGAACTTCACACTCATACTATGTGGCTAGCTGAAATTGACTATCATGTAGTATTTAGATATAAAAAGGCTCCTGATAGTTTGTTAAATGCAAAGGCTACCAGACAATCACTTAGCTGCAGTACCTACGGGAAGCTTTCAGACAGACTGATGCGCAGGTGTAGTGTTGCCCACAGGGCAAGCTGGTAGAGGGCTGAGACACACCATCTTCATATCCACAATGGACTTAGTCTTCACACCTGGGCTGAACCCCACAGCTGCTGCGTTTCCACCCATAGTAACTTAGACTCTGTGCAACAATGATAACAGAAAGCCTTTTTTATTCTTTAAGAAGAATAGACTCGATTACCTTTGGCAAATTCTATACCAGTCTTACATGTTTAAAATTATGTTTCCAACTCAAAGAATTGAGCAGCTCCTGATAAATACTTATCACACCAAAGTTAGCCAGAAAGCCCTGGATTCCTTGGCCAAAAGTTAAAAGAGATCTAAAATTGGCATTACCTTGAAGACATTTCTAGGATATTTAAAATGTTTTTTAATAATGTCAAAAAGAAAAAAAATGGGAAAATGTTTAATATTACTTAAAATAATTGTAATGTTCTATTTACCATTTGCACAAATTCCTAATTCTATTGGCTAATAGTTGTCCAGCCTCATTATCCACACCAGACTCTTGTGTCACTGAGCTTAAGCCACAAAAAAAATGAGAATAAGCCGGAAAAGATTTCCAGCCGTAGAGGGCACTGTTTTAGTAAATCACAAAAGCCTAGAATCTCTCCCTTGTGTTTAAATTACTCTTGCAACAAAGGTAGCATTCTTGGAATAACTTAACTATTTCACTGCACCACTTACTGCTTTCGGTACAGAATCTTTTAAATTGTTTCTTGTGATAACTAGATGCATGATCACTAGAGATGATGTGATAACTGGTTAAAATTCAAGCCAAGATCTTTAACAGTCATTTATTGGATGCTCTTGTCAAAATGGCCTGGCATCCACCTTCTCAGGGTGTCCAACCTGAGTAGACAGCTCTTCAATTCAACAAAAAAGAAAGCCAAGATCTTCCTCAGGAAAACTCAATAATAATACTCTAAAAATTTCACTGACGCCCACAGAGGATCTGCCTTAGGTCAATAAAGATTTCTCACATGCTAAATACAGGATCTGTAAAAGATTCAGGTAGCTGATTAACCAGATTTTCTTGTTATAGAGTCATTAGTCATTGGGACATGTATGGAAAAGAGAATGGCATTTACTCTAGGCTTTCTTGGCACCTCTTTCTGACATTAATTATTTAGCAGAGACGAAGCTCTAATCACGTCACTCCCAGTTCATGATAAAAAACAAAATCAAGTGTACCAATTTTTTTCTTGAAGAATTACTACTATCTTTTATGTTTCCCTCATTAACAATCATCAGATTTTCTAAAAAGATTTATTTATTTATTCCAAGGAGAGAGGGAGAATGAGGGGAGGGGCAGAGGGAGAAGGAGAAAGAACCCAAAGCAGACTGTGTGCTGAGCACAGAGCCTGACATGGAACGTGATCCCAAGACCCTGAGATTGTGACCTGAGCCGAAACCAAGAGTCAGACCCTTAACTGACTGAGCCACCAGGTGCCCCAATCATCAGATGTCTTTTAAAATAATATAATCA